CAGCATAGGTATATGGTATCGATTATGTTAAAAAATACAAACAAAAAACACATATTGTTTGTAGGTCCATATATGAATACGTAAATGCCTAGAAAAATGTCTGAAAAGAAACACAAAGTGGTGAGAGTGGATATATCTCTTTAGACGGGGTGGGGTAAGGTATGGAGGTGATCAAAGGGGGTTTTAGCTTCACCTGTAATGTCATAATTTAAAATTTAACTTAAATGGAAAATACTTGTATTTCCTGTGACTGAAGTTTCGAAAAACATTTTCACGTTAACACATATTTATGTGACTATTAATTTCCAATCACAATCTTAATCATGAAATTTGAAAAACATCTGATCATTCTGGGAAACGAAACTTACACTGCGTTGTCATCCCAGATTAAGTTTTCTGCGTAAAAGTCACAGAAGGCGGCTGAAAAGTTAAATTGCACTTTCACCACTTAAGATCAAGTAAGTCAACTCTAGGAGTCATAACAGTTTTGAGGACACTAATTTATCTTCGCAAAGAATAAGAAATATACGGGTGGATATAAATGAATCCAGGAGCCCTCAAATTTTGAATAGAAATCACAGCGACAGATTGTTTAATTTATCCTAACATGAGTTCTATTTCTAAGGTGCTATTAAATTTTCAGCGACGGCATTTGCTTTTCTCAACAAAACTGATGGAACACTTGAGGGCAAGTATTGACAAGGAGGAAAAGCGAGCCCCAGAGAGGTCAGAGTTCAGTGTGAGGTGACATCTAGGAAGTGGCAGGGCTGGGACTCCAGCCCTCTGTCCTCTCAGCCAGGCCATGTGCCTGCTCTGATTCACCGGTGTGACATCGCGCGTCTGTATATCCCGTGTTCTCAAGCGCTCATCCCTGGAGATTATCTATCTTTCCACATCTCTATATCTACCTGCCTGCATATCTAAATCTATCTATCTATCTATCTATCTATCTATCTATCTATCTATCTATCTATCTACCTATTTATCATCCGTCTACTTACCTACTTACCTATCTACCTCTGTCAGGGCCTTCTCCATCCCTGACCCCTAGGAGCCCTACAAGCCCCCTCCTCGCCCCTCCCTCCAGCCCCGCGCATTCCACCTGTTCCCGTGCATCCCCGCTTGCCCCCGTCCCCACGCTGCCCCCTGAGGTGTCTGCTTGGCGCCCGCAGTCACCGCACGCACCAGCAGAGGGTGAAGGGCAGCGCCCCCGCGGGCGGGGCCGGCCTGTCGGAGGACGCGGGGTGGGGGTCTCAGCGCCGCGTACTCACCTTGCCGGCAGTGGGCGCGGCCACCAGGAGCACCAGCTGAAGCAGAAGCAGCAGCGCCGGCGGCCTCGGCGCCGTCCCAGGGCGCATCGTGGGCGTCCGCTAGGAGCCCCGGCGTGTCCAGGGGCCCGCAGGCTCTCGGGCCGCCGCGTGCCCTGCGCGGCGCGAGTTGAGGGGCCCGGCTGTGAAGCTAGCCTGGCCCGCCCGCCCGGGGCGGGTTTTGTAGGGCTCAGCCTCCCCACCGAGGCTTCAAGGGAGGGAAGAAGTGGCTTAGGTCCCGCCCCCGTTCCCCCTCCCCGCCAACTCACCGGGAGATGTCCCTCCGACCCAGGAAGCGTGCCAGGAGGCTGTGAGAAAGGGCTGCGCGCCTGCGGGGCAGGTGGGTGCGGGGCCAGGGTCAGGGGTTAAAGAGGTGACGCTCCCAAGGTTCAGGGGCCTAGGCGGGGCAAGGGGCTGCGAGTCGGAGGTGGGGAGTTTGGGGGGTGAGCGTTGTGGAGGCGGCGGAGCACGGGGGAGGGAGTGGCCAGCGGCCCTGCTCAGATTAAGCGGGAGGCGCGCCGGGCGTCTGCACTCGCGCGGCTCCGCTCGCTCCGGCTCCCGGCCGCGGCCGTCTCGCCTCTTTCCCTTTCTCAACGCGTCTCCAATCCGGCAGCCGCCGGACCCGGCGGTGAGCGCGTGGGGAAGAGGCAGCCGAGTCGCCCGCGGAATTGGGCGCGGTGGGAGGTGCGCGCCGCGCGGGCGGGCGCAGTCGTGGTTCCCGGGGCGGCGGGCGTCCCCACGAGGTAAGGTGCCCCCGACCCAGTCTGGGCGACGGATGGCAGCCCCAGGGCCCGGGCCACCCGCCTGGAAGCGCGGGCGGTGGAGGGAGCGTGGCATCCCAGGGTGGGGCGCGCGGGCTGGCGGGCGGGGAGGGGGAGCTGGGCTGGGGGTCACCAGACGAGAGCTTGTCTGGCTCCCGGCTTGTCTGCCTGGGCTTGAACTGGGCGCTGTGTGTTTTGATTAATTTGGAGGCTCGAGTTACCAGCCTGGCAGTCTGGGCACAACGAAATGCCAAGAGCAAGAGGCAGCTGAGGGTAAAGAGAAAGCCCATCCATTCTATTTTCTGCCGCGTTGAACTGGCTTTTTCACGTTAAATCTTATCTGCGGAAATGCAGGGAAAGCCAAGAGCCAACTTTGTCGGGGTGTCTCCCTCCTGAGAGGGCCCTTCTCGGAGGTGGCCTTGGACGCAAACGTGCAATATCTGGCTTGCTAGGGCACCGTCCTCAGAGCAGGGCTCGTGCCCTTTTATTGTGCCACTGACCACATCGGATCTGATGAAGCATTTAGATCCTTCTTAGAATAATTCAGTTATCAGAATCAGTTTAACTTTGAATACATTATCAAAGTATTAAAGTCATGAAATAGTAACATAGGTGCATCATTATTATTGCACTAAATACCTAGATCTAACAGCAGATCTATTAAACAACTGTAATCTCAAAGTACTGATGACTGCAAAACTGAAATGTGACGTGAAAATACCAGTGGGTGCAAACTCTCAAGAACTGCTAATACTATTGTGGTTTGTTAGCTATTTTCATAACTGAAGGAAATGCTGAACTTCCAGGAAAGTTTAGTGAACGTAGAGATGTAATATTTGTTCCCATCTAAGTTCACAGACCACCTGAATTCCATCTCCAGGTTAAGAACTGCTACTTTGGATCAGCGTTGCTGATGTAGTCGGTCATCAAACACACAGTGTGAAATATGTGGTTTGGTCACTGATTGTGGAGAACCATTTGCTTGCAATTAGAATGTGTATTAGACCTATGTAGCTATGTAGGTAGGCGAAACCCTGACAGCGAGTGAATGGAGATGCACACCCCCCTTTTTGGTTATAGAGTGAACATTATACACTTCCCTCTGTATATATATATATATATATATATATATATATATATAAATTTATTTATTTTTGGCTGAGTTGGGTTTTCGTTGCTGTGCACGGGCTTTCTCTAGTTGCAGCAAGCGGGGGCTGCTCTTTATTGCGGTGCGCGGGCTTCTCATCGTGGTGGCTTCTCTTGTTGCAGAGCACGGGCTCTAGAGCGCAGGCTCAGTAGCTGTGGCTCACGGGCTTAGTTGCTCTGCGGCATGTGGGATCTTCCCGGACCAGGGCTCCAACCTGTGTCCCCTGCATTGGCAGGCGGATTCTTAACCACTGCACCACCAGGGAAGCCCCTTCCCCCTGTTTTTTATGCCAGTGATTGTCAACTCTGGCTGTGTATTAGAATCTCCTAAGGACCATCTAAAAATCCTGAAACATCCCAAGTCAGTTACACTGGACTCCCCAGCAGTAGGACTCAGGTATCTGTATTTAAAGCTCTCTGGAGATTCCCATGTGCAACCAAATTTGAGAGCCACTGTTTTCCATGCATAGTTCAGTTAGTTGCATTGAATCAGGGACTCTTCTTCATAGAATAATAAAAAGGACATGTATTAAACTCTTTATTAAGTCCTATAAGTGCCCAGACCACAGATGTTGCTGTGTGGTATATAGTAGCTTCTCGCCATTGATAGGGAGGGTTCTTGTGGAACCTTCTCCTGCCATCCTTGTTAGATAGGACATCAGGTGCTCTCTTGATAAAATAACAGTGCCCAAGAATTCTGAGGCATATGACAATCTTGCATGAACTGACATTACTTCCTGGACAAAAAAAAAAAACAACCTTCAATGCTAGAGTTAAATTTTCCTTCTTTTTGCTGAATTCCAGAAGATTTTTTTAATTTGAATTTCAATTGCCTTTGAAATGAAACCAAGTCATTCTGACAGAAGTCCAGACTTGGCTTTATCGACTTTAGAAAGATCTATCTATCTATCTATCTATCTATCTATCTATCTATCTATCTATCTATCTACCTATTTATCATCCGTCTACTTACCTACTTACCTATCTACCTCTGTCAGGGCCTTCTCCATCCCTGACCCCTAGGAGCCCTACAAGCCCCCTCCTCGCCCCTCCCTCCAGCCCCGCGCATTCCACCTGTTCCCGTGCATCCCCGCTTGCCCCCGTCCCCACGCTGCCCCCTGAGGTGTCTGCTTGGCGCCCGCAGTCACCGCACGCACCAGCAGAGGGTGAAGGGCAGCGCCCCCGCGGGCGGGGCCGGCCTGTCGGAGGACGCGGGGTGGGGGTCTCAGCGCCGCGTACTCACCTTGCCGGCAGTGGGCGCGGCCACCAGGAGCACCAGCTGAAGCAGAAGCAGCAGCGCCGGCGGCCTCGGCGCCGTCCCAGGGCGCATCGTGGGCGTCCGCTAGGAGCCCCGGCGTGTCCAGGGGCCCGCAGGCTCTCGGGCCGCCGCGTGCCCTGCGCGGCGCGAGTTGAGGGGCCCGGCTGTGAAGCTAGCCTGGCCCGCCCGCCCGGGGCGGGTTTTGTAGGGCTCAGCCTCCCCACCGAGGCTTCAAGGGAGGGAAGAAGTGGCTTAGGTCCCGCCCCCGTTCCCCCTCCCCGCCAACTCACCGGGAGATGTCCCTCCGACCCAGGAAGCGTGCCAGGAGGCTGTGAGAAAGGGCTGCGCGCCTGCGGGGCAGGTGGGTGCGGGGCCAGGGTCAGGGGTTAAAGAGGTGACGCTCCCAAGGTTCAGGGGCCTAGGCGGGGCAAGGGGCTGCGAGTCGGAGGTGGGGAGTTTGGGGGGTGAGCGTTGTGGAGGCGGCGGAGCACGGGGGAGGGAGTGGCCAGCGGCCCTGCTCAGATTAAGCGGGAGGCGCGCCGGGCGTCTGCACTCGCGCGGCTCCGCTCGCTCCGGCTCCCGGCCGCGGCCGTCTCGCCTCTTTCCCTTTCTCAACGCGTCTCCAATCCGGCAGCCGCCGGACCCGGCGGTGAGCGCGTGGGGAAGAGGCAGCCGAGTCGCCCGCGGAATTGGGCGCGGTGGGACGTGCGCGCCGCGCGGGCGGGCGCAGTCGTGGTTCCCGGGGCGGCGGGCGTCCCCACGAGGTAAGGTGCCCCCGACCCAGTCTGGGCGACGGATGGCAGCCCCAGGGCCCGGGCCACCCGCCTGGAAGCGCGGGCGGTGGAGGGAGCGTGGCATCCCAGGGTGGGGCGCGCGGGCTGGCGGGCGGGGAGGGGGAGCTGGGCTGGGGGTCACCAGACGAGAGCTTGTCTGGCTCCCGGCTTGTCTGCCTGGGCTTGAACTGGGCGCTGTGTGTTTTGATTAATTTGGAGGCTCGAGTTACCAGCCTGGCAGTCTGGGCACAACGAAATGCCAAGAGCAAGAGGCAGCTGAGGGTAAAGAGAAAGCCCATCCATTCTATTTTCTGCCGCGTTGAACTGGCTTTTTCACGTTAAATCTTATCTGCGGAAATGCAGGGAAAGCCAAGAGCCAACTTTGTCGGGGTGTCTCCCTCCTGAGAGGGCCCTTCTCGGAGGTGGCCTTGGACGCAAACGTGCAATATCTGGCTTGCTAGGGCACCGTCCTCAGAGCAGGGCTCGTGCCCTTTTATTGTGCCACTGACCACATCGGATCTGATGAAGCATTTAGATCCTTCTTAGAATAATTCAGTTATCAGAATCAGTTTAACTTTGAATACATTATCAAAGTATTAAAGTCATGAAATAGTAACATAGGTGCATCATTATTATTGCACTAAATACCTAGATCTAACAGCAGATCTATTAAACAACTGTAATCTCAAAGTACTGATGACTGCAAAACTGAAATGTGACGTGAAAATACCAGTGGGTGCAAACTCTCAAGAACTGCTAATACTATTGTGGTTTGTTAGCTATTTTCATAACTGAAGGAAATGCTGAACTTCCAGGAAAGTTTAGTGAACGTAGAGATGTAATATTTGTTCCCATCTAAGTTCACAGACCACCTGAATTCCATCTCCAGGTTAAGAACTGCTACTTTGGATCAGCGTTGCTGATGTAGTCGGTCATCAAACACACAGTGTGAAATATGTGGTTTGGTCACTGATTGTGGAGAACCATTTGCTTGCAATTAGAATGTGTATTAGACCTATGTAGCTATGTAGGTAGGCGAAACCCTGACAGCGAGTGAATGGAGATGCACACCCCCCTTTTTGGTTATAGAGTGAACATTATACACTTCCCTCTGTATATATATATATATATATATATATATATATATATAAATTTATTTATTTTTGGCTGAGTTGGGTTTTCGTTGCTGTGCACGGGCTTTCTCTAGTTGCAGCAAGCGGGGGCTGCTCTTTATTGCGGTGCGCGGGCTTCTCATCGTGGTGGCTTCTCTTGTTGCAGAGCACGGGCTCTAGAGCGCAGGCTCAGTAGCTGTGGCTCACGGGCTTAGTTGCTCTGCGGCATGTGGGATCTTCCCGGACCAGGGCTCCAACCTGTGTCCCCTGCATTGGCAGGCGGATTCTTAACCACTGCACCACCAGGGAAGCCCCTTCCCCCTGTTTTTTATGCCAGTGATTGTCAACTCTGGCTGTGTATTAGAATCTCCTAAGGACCATCTAAAAATCCTGAAACATCCCAAGTCAGTTACACTGGACTCCCCAGCAGTAGGACTCAGGTATCTGTATTTAAAGCTCTCTGGAGATTCCCATGTGCAACCAAATTTGAGAGCCACTGTTTTCCATGCATAGTTCAGTTAGTTGCATTGAATCAGGGACTCTTCTTCATAGAATAATAAAAAGGACATGTATTAAACTCTTTATTAAGTCCTATAAGTGCCCAGACCACAGATGTTGCTGTGTGGTATATAGTAGCTTCTCGCCATTGATAGGGAGGGTTCTTGTGGAACCTTCTCCTGCCATCCTTGTTAGATAGGACATCAGGTGCTCTCTTGATAAAATAACAGTGCCCAAGAATTCTGAGGCATATGACAATCTTGCATGAACTGACATTACTTCCTGGACAAAAAAAAAAAACAACCTTCAATGCTAGAGTTAAATTTTCCTTCTTTTTGCTGAATTCCAGAAGATTTTTTAATTTGGATTTCAATTGCCTTTGAAATGAAACCAAGTCATTCTGACAGAAGTCCAGACTTGGCTTTATCGACTTTAGAAAGGGGAGGCAGCAGTCAACTGCAAGTCACTTCCAACACTGCAAAAGAGCAGGAAAGAAACTTGTGATGTAACCACAGCAAGGAGGAAGCAGTGGTTAAGAGTATGGTCTTTAGAGTAGACTCTAGATTTTGAATCTTTTCCACACTTACTAATGTGGCTTGGGGTCTTCTCTTCTATAAAGCGGGCATAATCAGGGTACCCACCTCAAAGAACTGTAGGAATCTAATTCAGTAATCCATTAGAAGTCCTTTGTCCAGGGTCTTCATAAAACAGTCACATACTGGAATCTGATTCTCCAGTTTTGTAAAGGAAAACAAAGGAAGCTGATGAGAAATAGTGGCACATGGTAGAGATGCTTTTCTCAGCTCAGCAGTAAAGTGGCAAGAGTCAAGCATACTCCACCAGCTCCCTTGAGGTCAATAGACTCTTAAGGCATCTAGAACCTTGCTGCTTGGCATCCCTGGGAGCCGCAGGTGTGGCATCCTGGAGAGCTGGTTAGAAATGCAGAAGGAATCTCAGGCACCACCCCAGACCCACTGAATTAGAGCCTTTTTTCACCAAGCTCTCCACGTGGTTAAACGTTGAGAAGTGACTTGCCTATGAGCCAGGTTTAACCAAACCCATTTCTCACTCCCCACATATATACACTCTGCTTTAGTACAATGTTGGTATGCTCACTAGGTGTTAATTAACCAGAATTTTTGATTTTTAAAAAGCAGTCTTAGAGTCAAGAGAGCTTCCCAGTTGGTTCTTGAAATGTGATAAAACTAAAGGAAAGTGAGGATGGTTCTCTTTTTGTAAGTACAAAGGACACACAAATCTCTGCTTTTGATTTGGTGCCAGATAAGGGTTTTGAACAAAGGGAAATGGTAATGGCCTTTGAAAAGCCCTGTCTTATTGTTTTCGCCCCCTTTTCATAATCACAATATCATGTCTGTTTTTCGCACAGTGCTTAAATGTGTAATGTTTGCTTCCCTACTTTTGAAGGCTGACTCCAATAGGACAGTGGACTTTTTGGTGTTCTTTAATGTTATTGAATGAATGAAGTTGTTTATTATTTGCTGAACGAATGAGGCTGGATGACTTGACAGATTCACTCAGGATTCACACCCAGGTCTGATTTCTTCCAAAGCTTATGATCTTTCTATAGCCTTCCCTGTGTAGGGATGTGCCTCAGCTTTTGATATGATGTACTTTGCCAGGCTGCCTGTAGCTTCTCCTTTAATCTTTTAAAAAGATTAAATTTAATCTTAATTACATTTTAAGTTAATCTTTTTTTTAACTTCATCTCCCCACTTAGTCATCTGTCTTCTTTCAAGAACCTTCTCTTTTCAACACCTCTAAAACAATTAGACTCGGGTTCTTTGACAATCTCGGAGTCATTTTCAACTCTCTCCATTACATCTCCAGATTCTTCCTCCTCTTTTCTAAGATCATGGCCCCTGTCCCAGTGCCTACACCTATCATCTGTGGATTACGGTAGCCTTCTAGCTAGTCCCCTGCAGATTCTTTCCTCTGAAATCCACCTTCTATGTTATTGTCAGAATAAAAGTGCACATTGTATCAGAAGGAACAGGTTACTTTGGGGGCAGTTACAAACAACCCCCGAATTTCAGAGCCTTACATAACAAGATTTTTCTTCTCCCTTTACACTGAGTATTCATCACAGGGTGTGGGGAGGTGAGAAAGGGGGAGAGGGCTCTGCTTATCATAACTACTCAGGAACCTCATGGAAATTCCCACTCAACGTAGTTTTCTCTGATCTCCTCCAAAGGGGAAGAGAATGCGGGGAAATCAAAAACTGCTCTAACAACTGCCACCTGGGTGTGACACTCGATACATCTACTTCACCATCTCGTTGACCAAACTGGTCACTTCATTTTGAAAGTGATGGGGAGATAATCTACCACATGCCTGGAAGAGCTCTGGAAATATTTGATGAATGTTAGTAATTGCTCATCACATACATCGTGTAACTCGCTTATTTTAAAACTTCCAGAAGCTCCTCTTTTTCTTTACAGCTTATTTCACACTTCTTAGGATAGAAGAGAGGGGTCCAAAGTCAACTTTTGAAAAATCTCCTGTGTCACCCCATACTTCTCTAGTTCACCGTACAGCCTTCTTTACATCACGCTTTTGTACTTGCCATTCCCTCCACCTTGAGGGACCTCCCTTTCGGGCTGTCTGGTGCAACCCTTGAATTTTGAGACCTAGATCAAAGGTCAAAGATCATGGCCTCTGTGAAGACCTTTGTCCAGACCTTTATTATGTATCACAGAAACAGTGTCATGTATTTTACTCTTCCGCACTACAAGGCCTTTGAGGGCAGGTACAGAGATTAATTTTTTTTAATATAGTAACTGCGGCATTTAAAAATAAATTTATTGAGGTTTAATTTATGTACGCAAATCTGTACCTAGTTAAAGTACACAATTCATGGAGTTTCACAGATGCATACAGCCTGTGAAATCAATAGCATGATCCTGATACAGAGCTTTTCGATCACTCCCCGAAGTTTCCTCCTGTCCCGTTTCAGTCCATCTCTCACTCCCTGTCCATTCCCAGAAAACCACTGATCTGTTTCCTGTCACTGTAGGTTGGTTAGCATGTTCTAGAATTTTATGTAAATGGAGTCGTACAGTGTGTACCCTTCGGTGCCTGGGTTCTTTGGCTCAACAGAGCAATACTGAGATTGATCCATGTTACGTGTATCAGCAGTTTGTTCTGTTCTATAGCTGAGTAAAATTCCATTGTATGGACATCGCTTTTTTAAAGATCCATTTACCTGTAGGACATTTGAATTGTTTCCAGTTTGGGGTTACTAGAATACAGCTACTATGACTATTTTTGTACAAGGCTTTGTGTGGACATGTGTTTCCACTTCTCTTGAATAAATACCTAGGAGCGAAATGGCTGGACCATAGGGTAGATGTATATTTAATC